TAAATTAATATTTTTCACTAAATGACATGATAAATCACTTAAAATATAACATTAAACTATTAATTAGTTTTTAGAAAATACAATCAAAATCTATTGTATTTTTTCAAAAAGAATACTTATTCAAGAAAGGTTGTTAAATAAAATAATTTTACACTTAAATACCAAAGAGAAATTTAATTTTATCAACAAAAAGGTGATTTGTGAGACAAAAATCAAGGGATAAAAGAAAAACTTTGAGAGTGAAATTAAAGAAATATGCTAAGTGAAAGATTGAAAAGACTAAAAAATTTTTGCTATGTTAATTAGTTGTTTTTCCTTTTTTTTCTTATTGTTTCTTGGTCTGGATTTTGCAATGTTATTTTGTGATGTTAATTACATACTAATTTTTTTTAATTAGTGAAAAGTTTATTATGTCTCTCCTTGTTAATCTATTAGTTAAAATTTTAAAGGATTTAGAGGTAGGGTTTCTACAAAGTATTTAGGGGAATATGCCGAGAGATAGATGAAGAGGATAGTCATTTTTATTTGATTGGGTGGCAGCACATGTGGAAAGGTGGTCCCACTGGTTAGCATAGGTGGAAAAAAATTATTAAACAAATACATTAACTGCTTACCGTTGTGCAATTAACCGTTCAAATAGATGGCAACATGAACGACGTCAAGAAAAGGCCGACAATGAACAGAATAAAGGGTGTCGAGGGACAACATTTAGTGCTCTTTGTGGAGTAGAGGGATGACAATGAACAAATTCTTAGTAGAGGGATGGGCATGAACAAAAAATCAAAGTAAAGGGATGACAATTGGCTTTATCCCTAAATCACCGAAGGTATAACCAAATTAATTCGAGAGAGTTTTAAGTCTTCTTTAAATCTCTTTATCTTACCGCCAGTGGTCAAAGTCCTGCAACTATTACAACCTAGCTAACTCATCATGTTGTTGTCCTCTTTAAACCTGACTACAACTTGATGAAAAATATCTAGAAAGCTAAGGTTGCATTTGATAACGCTTGTTAGTGTTTTATCTTATAGTTTTTATTTCTTTTTATTATTAAAAAATATATATAATATTAATTAAAATAAATATGAAATATATTTTATATATTTTTAAAATATTAAAATACCAAAAAAACTCAATTATAGCCAAAGTAAAGACCCTCAAAAGTAAGACAAAAAAGCCCAAAAAGGAAGGAGATCCTAAAAAAAAAAATGAAGAAGAAGAAGAAGAAGAAAACTCCTACCTTCATGCATTTCCCTTAAGGTTAACCGCCGAGGAGGATAGAAGCAGAGGTCGAAAAGAAAAATGAAATAAAAGGGAAGGGAGAGGATTTGTTCAAGAAATCTTGTGGGTGAGAAAGGCTAACGGCCATGTTTTAAGGGGTTGATTGGTTCTGTTTTTGTGAGATAATAGTAACTTCTTTTTTTTTTTTTTTTTGAACTAGGGGAATTGGGGGGTAGGGGAGGGGAGAATGAGAAAAGGAGAATCGAACTGCGATGATGTGAATGAAAACTCGTACAATGACCACACAATAGAATTTAAGATAATAGTAATTTGATTCATTGATATATAAAGAAGTGCTCCTTAGTCATGACTTAACAAAATTTTTTTGCCTTTAATATAAAGATTACATCATATCAATAAAAATCATTTACTTCCCTCTAATTAAAACCATATAGTTTTTATATGATACTTGAAATGAAACAGAGTCTCTATTTTACCATTTGATCCACTTTGAATCGGTAAAACAGATTCCTTCTAATTAAACCATTACATTTCTAAAGTGAAAAAGAAAATAAAAACACAATATTCTTACATAACTACTAACATTTTATAGTGCTATTTCCAGAGCAGAATTCCTGTTACCAGTCCCATTCACATATCTACCATTTCATGAAAATGGGGTTTACAAATTCAGTAAATCCTGATGTGGAAATAGCCTAGTGCCTTAGCCTTACCCATATGGCCATATTTATATAACTATCTAGATTTTATTCCCAACACTTCTCCCTACAGCACTCAGTAGTCACGTGACCTGTACCCGCCCAAATGCAGTTTCGGAGAACTGCTGGACGGCTTCGCCGAGAACACTCCGTTCCAGATCTCGGTGAACGCTCTAACGATGACTCCGTGGTAGTACGGCGAGTTCAGCTGCAAAAAACAGTTGAGAAGCTCCCTCAGGTCGTCTTTAGAGTATATCTCCTTCTCCAGAATCATCTGCAGCATGGAGTGCCTGAAATCCAGATATGGGTCGTCCGAATCTTTCTCCACCGCCACACTCTCCTCGCCTACCCGTCCGAATCCACCTACAGTCTTCGTCGAACAGTACTCGGGGTCGGTGTCCATTTCCGCCTCCGTGTCGTCGTTGGGAGAGAAAGAGGTGGCGGTGTCGTATTTGGAGGAGCTGGAGGAGGAGTAGTGCTGGTGGTAAGGAGTGTGTTTCCGGTAGGATCCGGCTTTGGACTTGGGTTTGGGCTTGGGGTTAAAGAAACTGGAAATCATGAGCTTGGGTCTCCGGCAGCTGCCGCAGCCTAAACTGACGGCGACGGAGTTGAGAATCAGCCTTTTTCTGGCGGTAGGCATTTTCCAATTGCACAGAAAAAGAGAAGTTTTGGGAGGGATGAGGGAATTGACCCGAGGCGGAAGGAGGCTCCCTATAAATCCTGCATGTGAGTGGCGATGGGTCCACGATTCATGTAATGACAGATCTGTTCTTTCTGGTCATGACAGTTTGATCTGAACCGTTCAATTTGACTGCAGGTTTTGATTGTGCATTAATTATTTATATATATATATATACATTTTGAATATAGGCAATGGAGTGCATTAATAATAATGAATATGCATAAAGATAAGAGGAGTAAAAAATTAAGTAAAAAATATTTTAAAATATGTTATTTAATAAAATTTTATTGTAAAAAATTAAAATATTTTAATTATTTTTAAAATAAAAATTAAAGATGTTTTAATTTTTTTTATAATATTTTATTAAAATGATATAATTTTAAATTTTTTTTACTTAATTTTTTTTATAAATCTAGTTAATAAATATTAATTTTTAAAGATAAATAATTTAAATCCATTATGATAAGCTATAGGATTTAATTAATATCATTAATATGAGAAATTAATTTTTTTAAAAGAAATTTTTGTGAATGTACAAATTTAAAATTATTTAAAGACATATTAATTTTAAAGTGTATAAAAATTGACTCAAAAATATTAAAGAAAAATAAGAGAGGGATTAAATGCTTGCGAGTTAATTAAGGAGTAGTATCGAGGAGCTAGACATTGTAACAGGATTGATTAATTAAATGAAATAAGTGATTAGTTTACTAAATGAAAGGTTAAGAAGACTAGTGGTTTTTTTATTTTTTTTTTAAATTGTGCTGCTTCTAAGATTAATGTGGCTCTTTAAATCATCAAAAAGTAACATGTCAGCTACGTTTTCAAATTAATCCAATGAACGGAAAGTAAACCTTTTTCTATTGTATCCATTTTTTTAAAGTTGATTAATGTATTTTTTATTTTGTACATTTTTATGGGGCATGTGGATCGTGGAAATCTTTTTAAAATTTAGATAAATTCATTCAAAAGTCTACTATTCTTTAAGGTTATATTTATTTAAGGGTAATAATTAATAAATTATTTTGTTTTATTTTAAATTACATAATAAAAAATAATTATTTTTATTATTCTACTTACTCTATTGGCATGTTTACATTTAAAAATTAAAATTCAAAATTTATTTAATTCATTAAAAAGAGATTATCACTTGTGTCATTGGCAATAACCAACAAATGATAATTTTCTTGTAAACTAAGGAGGAAAAATGTGGTAATATCAGTCTTTACTGATCCACTAATTTAGTATTTTGCTTGGTGGGTAAGTTTTTCAACCTTGTTTATTTTGCAAGTAATTTAATAATAAAAGAATAATCATTTACTCCTCACCAAACAACACCTAAGTGTAAATAAAAATTAGATTTTTCAACATTAAAACTTTATTTTTATAAGCTTGTTCCCAGCGCTTGTAAGTATCTTACTTTGAAATTTGGATTAGCATTTTCTTTATAAAGATTAATTGACAAGTCTGCATCAAGTTTAGATGGGGTGTTGACTACAGAAAGCCAAACTCAGTCTGGTTATATAGAAACACAGAGCTTGTTTGGTCTACAATCTTAACAGTAAAAAGTTTACTGTAAAACCAACAAGTTTAGAATTTCAACTTCACATGGTTTTAGCTTTTACAAATTAAAAAGACTGGAATGGGGACATATATGGGGACGGATGATGTGAAGACTTTTGTTAAGAAAAAAGGAGAATTTTGTTCGCAAATAGATCCTGTGAAGAATCTTGAGTCAAAGCACCAAGGGAATTTGCTCGAAAGTGCCAATAAGACTATCGTGGAGTGCGGACGGAACTGCACAAATTCTAGAGATATGATAAATAGTCACCTTTTTTTTTTTTGTGATATATTTTTTCTTTTCAAAAGGATAGTTTACCTTTTATCAGTACCTATAGAGAGCAGAATGCAGAATTTTGCTTCTCATCATACTCAAATGACATATTAATCAAATGCACTAGATGTTGATCAAATGGGTGTAATCAGTCTTTGTAACTGTAACTGTTTCACCTAGTTTTTGAAAAGATTTTTATTGCAAAAACTGAAACTGAACCAAACACAATTTTCTAAGAAAATTTATTTTTTTCTTTTTTTGTAATACATAAAGATTATAAGTTGAACATTAAATTATGATTAAAAGTACAGATAATTTTACTATCGAATGCATTATAATTAGTTTTTTTTTTTTTTTTGTAAATGTTGTTTTTCTAATAAGCTTCTTAATTTAATAAATTTACCGATTTTCAAAATTTTTTATGATATTTTATTTGAATTCATCATTGCGCATTAGTTTTTGTTAAGGATATACTGAAATAAAACTTTTACAAGAGTTTTAGTTAGGCAAAAACTCTTTTGCATTATTAGTTAAATCGGCTGTTGCCAAAAATAAATTTGTGTATGCACTATGCAACATGTTTTCTTTTTCGTGACCAGAGTATGATCCATCACTTTCTGTTAAAGTATTATGTGGGTAAATGTCACAGATGTCACTAACCTTGCTTTAAAAATTACAATTGGCTCACTAATCTTCAATTAAGTATAATAATTACGTTACTTTTAAATTCCAACTCCCTTCAATGATTTTTGTAAGGATATCCTCTTTGTATTTCTTTTGATTTGATTATTTGATAAAAAAAAAATTAAATAATAAAGTAAAAAATTATAAAAACTCAAAATATTTTAATACTTTAACCGTTAAGAATTATAATGAAAATTGAAAAAATTTAAATACTTTTAATAAATTAACACTTAAAAAAATATTTATTAAGAATATTTAAAAAAAATTTAAGCATTTATGATATTTTAAATGTTAAAATATCCTAATTTTTACTTTTTATAGAATAATATATCTAACAATGAATTTAAAATTTGAAATTCACTGATTAATCATGTTAACCCTAAGGGGGCAATGACATCGACACTGACTACATAAAAGAAAAAGTTGTATTTGATATCAACCATTTCTTTTTTTAGTCTAAACTAAAATAAAAAATAAAAAAAAAAGTTAGTTTGGACAATTATAACTTCAAATTTTCCTTTTTACCAAATCTTAAAATTATGGTGGTCTATATTGATATTTTTTTTACTTTTGGAGCTTGAGTAAAAACACTTCTCTTTACCATTTATGAACATTGTGCGTGCACCATCATTCCCCTTTCACGCATTAGGGAAAAGTTTTATAAACCAAAGGAATCCAAATTCCATCATGAACCCTGCCAAACTGGCTAAATACTATACTATAATATATTTAAGGGTTAATGTACAACATCATTCCCCATTCACATAACACATATTTTACACCTTGGATTTTCTAGCAGAAGCTTATGCTAGAGTTCATTCATTATTTAATGGGAGGGATCAGGTTCAGAGTCACGGGGCGGCATATATTATCAGCTGATTTGGAAGATATCCTGAAGTTTGGCTGGCAAACTTAGTGTTTTCTGCAAAAAAAAACGTTTCAATTGTCAGCAGAATGATTCTAACTTCAGGGAGCAAACATTTGTGGCTTATCTATACATGAAAAATGCTGAGTAATAACGACACAGAGGACATCATCATCGCTTTTGTTGTCTGTAATCATTGTTAAGAAATGTAAGAACGATATACCAAGACAGTATTTCAAAATGCACAAGCAGCAGCACAACTGAGCAGCTTTATTGTGCTCATTTATGCCATCTGCAAACCAAGGAATCAAGGGCAAAAAATTCTGTAGTGAATGTGGAAAGTGTGTTGGAGAACATGTTGTAGATGAGGCTAATTAACAATGGCACTGATAATTTTCAATTCTCACTTAGAAAGCCAAATGAATGCATTAGATGCCCCCACCCCTGCACTGCCACAAAGAAAGAAAGAACTATTATTTTGTTGGCTTACAAACCCAAAAATGAAGGATAATACGCAACCCTGTCAGAAAAGATTATACATCTAAACATAGTCCTCTACATTCATTGTGTTGATGAGTCTCCACATTATATATTGTACTTATTCTTATTATATCTTTTTGATATGGGATTCCATCACAACTCCGAAGTAAACCACTTTTCTCAACATTCCCAAAAACAAAATACTCACTTCTGAAGCAAGGGAACACCTGAAAGATAATAAAAGGAAATTATTTGAAAGAAATCTTAGAACTAATTAGCTAAAACCTTGCCTTTAATGGTTGCATCAAGATCATAAGAATGCAATCAACCTCAGCAACTTCCTAGTTTTATTATCATACAAAGTAGAGTGCAAGGCAGCAAAGTGTACCTGATGCAATACTTGGATAAAGATTATTAACAACTACAGCATGCACATACACATTAGAGTAATTGTCAAATGCTAGACTGCAGTTTTATGAACACCAGGTGATAACCAGATTTCTTACTTGATGAAAGATGGATTTGGAAAACTAGTTTGGCAAAAAGTTCTTTTGGTTTTGCAGAAAATGATTACTTGGAAATTCTAGGTGACATGACTGAAGACTGATAAACGAATAGATGAGAAAAGGAAAAAACACTTAGACGAATCATATAAACTCTTTCCTTTTTGATGACTTCCTCCATTGAAAAGGGGAAGTCATTATGGAACTTCACCCTTGACTGAAAATAATCTATAGAACTATTCATGAGTCATGTTATCTATAATAATCATGTAGTCATTCTCCATGAACCAAGCAGACCATAAATTATAACTCAAGAAAGTATGGACTGCAGGCGCTTTACTAAAAGGAAGACAAAACTGGCAAAGAAAAGAATGCTTTAGCCTTCAGGAAACTGTCACAGATATAACGAAATATCCCTAATTGTTGATTATACATTTTTATATAACAAAATTGTTGATTATACACTGCCATGGAGAGCTGCTTTAGCCTTTAGGAAACTGGAACAGAAAAGTAATCCTAATTGTTCTTTATACATTGTTGATACATTGTTGATTGTACATTTTTGTTGTAACAAAATTGTTGATTATAAATATCTGAACTCTGTCATGGAGAGCTGCTTTATCCTTTAGGAAACTGGCACAGATATAACAAAATATCCCTAATTATTGATTATATATTTTGATAAAACAAGATTGTTGATTATACATTTCTGAACTTTGTCATTGCCATGGAGAGCATATTTCGCACAGTATGGTACTGCAAGAAATAACGTAGCAGACAAGTTACTTGTAAATTTTAAAAGCAAAATAGATTGCAGTATAACAGTGAATGACTCAAGTTTCTTAATTATTTCTAAAATCCTTAAGCTTAGAACTCAGATGCAGGAGAAATATGCCTGAAAAACTATGATGAAAAACATGAACCTAGAGAAGTAATGGATCTCCATGCTCGTCTTTTCCAAGCAATTGGAAAATAATCCTACGAGGTTTACAGGAAATTCAGTTTTTTGCAATTCGTGCTTGATGGAACCATTTACAAAAGAAAATTATTGGTACACACTTAGTGTGACATATTTTTTTATAATCATTTGGTTTAGTTATTAAAAATATAATATAAGTATAATCAATCAGTTAGTTTTAAAATCTTATATACACAGATATATTTATCTACTTTTAATTTTGGACCAAAAAATAATAATTTTTTAGTGAATATGTTGTATAGTATGTTAAATGGAGTATGTACTAGTCAGTGTCCTTTGCAAAATTCTGAAGTAATAGAGATTATTATCTTTTCCGAGCAGGTTGATTACAATGGTAACAGTATGTAGAAAAAGAGGTGGGGTGGGGGGTTGGGGAAAGAAAAGAATCATCAATTCATGAGGGAAGGTAGATTTTTTGGGGAAAAAAGATCATGTAAAGAAATCTAAAGAACCAAGAATCTGTAAAGAAAACATCTCAGTTATTAGAAAAACATTTTAATCCACTGCCAAAAGAAAATGCTATTGAGTCTTCAGTTTTGTTAACATTGACTGCATTAATTATTAAATCTAATGTTCAAAAATAGAGGAACTGAAGGCAACAAATGTCTCACAGGACCCTGTCCATGTTGAGCAACAGGGCAGTTAGATTATCAAACAATCCTAGCTCTACAATATAGACATAATGAATCTTCCTGGTTAACAATTTCTTCTAAAAACACTGAGAAAGAAATAGGAAGGTTACCTTATGATCAATTTGTTCATGCAATGAGAACAAAGGCATAATTATAGAGGTTAAGAGAAACATAAAGTGTGCAAAGATAGAAAACTCTCATCCCCATCACTAAAGAAGATGCAACACAACCAATTCATGAGTTTACAGTTCAAATACAAATATATATTCAATTGATTTTCAGTTTTACCATAGGAGACAACCCTCATTTGCTCCAAATTCTACTCTACCTATATGTTAGGTAATTCTACATTACTGTAGACCATAGACTCTAATCATTAAGAATTAATACCAATCACTATCTAAAAGGCATTCCTTTAAATTAGCATAACGAATGTAACCTCATGATTTTGAGAGAAATGTGAATAAATGAGTTTCCTCTAATTAAACAAAGAATAATTGATGAAATGACAAATATAGGATAACAGAAAATCCCCTCTCACCGATTAAAAAAAAAAACAAAATCACCCTCTTTTCAATTGAGTTTTCCTCTTCTAAAAATAAGTTAACTCAATCCTCACCAATGATAAAATCATAACTGAGGTAACTGCCTGCATGTGTATACGCACATATTCCCCTCCTTTTTCCTCTCATCTCAAGTTTCTCGCGTAATCTAAGGTCAAGGTTTTACCCCACTTTCTCAAATTTTCCTCTTCTCTTTTTTCTATTGATCAAAACCGTTTCATTTCTCCCATTCCGCAGATTTTTTTATTTTCTCAGATGGAGATTTGTAGTGGTACAAGATCATAATTTGATCATAGTTGTGTATGAATCAGTGCTGTTAAACACAGGTTTGCAATCCATTTCATCATCTCTTCTATCTCCAATGTTATGTTAAATGCACATTGAAATAATAGAAGAAACATGCCTAGCTTAATTATAAGACGGACTACCTCCATATGGTCTTGTATTTTGACCCACATGTCAAATTTTCGTATGCTATGTGTTTTGAGTTTTGCAAAATGTTTTGAAGAGGCAGAATCTTAATTGCTTTGATGGTATGTTTTCCAGAATTCATTGAGCATCTGACTCGTGAGGATTCAAGATGTTGGGGGACTTCATCAATAGATGTCTTATGTATGTCAATAAGCAATGCATTCTGTTTTTCAACTGTCCTGGAAAATTCAACTCTGTGTTCTTGATGTTGCATTGCTTTTGTTTCCCCTCGTTTTGAACTCACAAAATGATTGCTATAATTTTTTCCCCCCCTTTTCTGTTGGTGTTAATCTTGCAATGGCAGGCTGCTTCTTGGATATGCATACCCAGCATTTGAATGCTATAAAGCTGTTGAAAAGAACAAAATTGAGATCGACGAACTCAGGTTCTGGTGTCAATATTGGTATGAATTTTTCCTTTACATAACTCTTGCCTCTCTGTCTCCGCAATTCATCATTTTGGAATTTGGAGGCCTTCCTTGGCTTTAATTTCATCATCTTTCAGTTATTTGCGTATTTCTTAGCCTTCATATCCTGTTTTAAAGATTATTCAAACAGGTCCCACTGTGAGTTTCAACTTTCAACTAAAAACAAAACTTAGATCCAATCTTTTTTTGTGGTTTGTGCATTTTTCTTAAACACGAACCAATCTTTCTAGTTGTTTGGTTGAAATTTAAGGTGATTTTGCAGGATTCTTGTGGCATTTCTATCAGTTTTTGAGAGGGTAGGCGACATATTCATTTCTTGGTATGAATAGTTTTACCCAAAACACATTAGCACAACCTTAATAGCTTCCCAACAGTGTAATAACAATAAAAATTTCTTTTTCATCCAGGTTGCCAATGTATGGCGAAATGAAGCTGGCTCTTATTATCTACTTATGGTATCCAAAAACTAAGGTAAATGCAAACGGAATAGTTACAAGAACTGGCGTTTCATTTCATTTCCTGTCATCCATGTTTAGGCAAATCTAAAGAAACATGCCTCTGTTCTATCTAGGGAACAGGTCATGTGTACAATACCTTCTTGCGACCTATAGTGGCAAGGCATGAGACAGACATCGAACGGAAGATACAGGAATTGAAAGCCAAGGCATGGGACTTTGTTCTTTACTATTGGCAGAATTTCGCTGAAGTGGGGCAATCAAAATTCTTTGATATTATTCAGTACTTACTTTCTACCTCGGTGAAATTAAGAGGCGGCGAACTGGTAGCTTTCCTTCCTTTTGCTCATCCTCAATTTTTATAGTTCTGTTAATAGCTGCCAACATTGAAGCAATTAGGACCGAAAATCCTCATGTACCATTGAACAACATTGCAGAGTGGAGATCAACAGCAATCAAATGGGCAGCCGAGACCAGGGTCGGTTTCACTGTCGTCTGGACCTGGTAGCCAGTCAGGGAAGAACAAAAAATGGCCTCCTACGGCCCCACCACCACCTGACAGCCCCACAACCAGCCAGGACTCCCCAACATCCAGACTTGCACAAACCAAACCAAAATTTGAAAATAACGGGGAAACAGGCTCTACTGGTGATACTGATCACAACCAGGCTCGATTCAGGCTCCGCCGCACCAAACCCGACAATTGACATTTACAATACTTACAAAACCCATACCAAGAAAAAGGAAAACGGGAGCACGAAATCCAGTATTCCCTTAAAAAATCTGCAATTCATTTCATTCTTTCCATAGTTTGTATCATAACATTCTGATATTCTTTGTTTCTATGTAAGAATTCTTCTTTATAAATATCAAATTGTACACAAAATAAAGTTTTTTTCATTTTTGAGTCCAGTTAAATTTTCGTACCATTTCCGTTGAGTTCCAATGAATTGCAGGCGATGGATTGTGTTACCTCGGGGCGTGAATTCCTAGGATGAGCAGGATGCGATCAAAGACACGCATGAGAGCTGGGAGGAGGTGAATGTGGATGAATTGGAGGAAGCTGGAAAGAGGGTTATGGGAGGAGAGGCGGAGCCAGAGGCGGCGGATGAAGTGTGGGCCCGACGAGTCAGGGGGGGAGGACATAGGCTGGAGATAGGCCCAGGCGGCTTGCTTCACCAAGCGGTTCCGGATGGAAATTTGGCACCCGGAATTAGAGGTGGGGGCAGCCGCAGTGGGAGAGTTAACGGTGACAGAAGAAGGGATGATGTCCTTGAGGGAAGTGTATGTGGTGAACGGGGATTTGAGAGAAATAACGTCGAGGTCAAGTGGCGGTTGAGATGATGCGCTGCCGTTAGGGAGGCTGGAGGTGGCAAGGAGGGGTTTCGTAGTAGGTAGAGGCAGCTTCGCGGGAACAAGAGCTGGATTGGAGTTTCTCCGGCGCAGAGTTGATGGCGGTGGCTGCGGTTCCGCTTCGCCCATGATTTGAGAGAGGTGAAAGTGCCTTTTCGGTGAATAGGGAGGGAATTAAAGAGAAGAGAGGCGGCTGGCTTTTGCTCCGGTGGAGGTGGGCTGCAATTACAGGAATAAATACTGTAGTCGCTGTCCCTTCTGTGCATGGTCGTTGGGAGAGAACCTTTACTGAAAAAGTAATCTAAAAAGTATTTTTTTTTTAAATTAATCTAAAAAGTATTATATCAACAGTAAAAAAAGAATTGTGTAAAAAATTAATAAATTTTATATTATAATAAAGTTAAGAAAAAAATACTTATTAATCTTTATTATAAAAAATAATTAAAATTTTAATTTTAAAATATATTATTTTATTTAATTAAAAAATCAATTTAAAATTTAAAAAAATTATTTTGTCTAATATTTATATTTAGTTTTAAAAACTGATTATATTAAAATATATAATGATTTTTTGAATCTAAATATTAATAGTTAATAGAATGAAATTTCAATTTTCAAATATAAATTAAAATTTCAATTATTTTCCAGAGTCAAGATTGATAGGAACTAACCTCTAAAGTTTAAATATGATTTTTTATAGTTTAAATTATAAAATAAAAATTTTATAATTTAAAGAGATTAGTAGGTATCAGTTTAAATTTTTAAGAATAATTGGAATCCCAACTTATATTTAAAAATTAAAATCTTATCCTATTAAATGTTAATATTTAAATTTGAAAATCTATTATATATTCTAATATAATTCGAATTTAAATTCAAATATCAATATTTAATAAGATAATTTTTAAATTTTAAATTAAATTTAAATTAAATAAAATGACGTAATTTAAAGTTAAATTTTCAATTATTTTTAAAAGTTCAAATTGATATGTGCTTTTTTTAAATTAAAATAAAGAACTTAATGTCAACAAATTCGTCTTTAATTTGAGTGTTTATATTTTGTAATTTAATATAATTTAAATTATAAAATAATTTTTTTGT